ATGCGGGGTGGGCATGAAATGGTCCTGGTGGGGGGGTTGTGGGACCCTGGGTGGGCCCAAGGGGTCCTGGGGGGGGGCAGGGCGTTGGGTGGGCATGCACCGGCCATGGGTGGGCACACGGGACCCCAGATGGGCATATAGGACCACCACGTGGGCATGCACCAGCCATGGGTGGGCACATGGTAGCCGGGTGGGCATGCAATGGTCTGGGTGGGCACCAGATGGGCATATAGGACCCCCAGGTGGGCACATGGGACCCCAAGTGGGCATGTAGGACCCCCACGTGGGCATGCACCGGCCATGGGTGGGCACGTGGTAGCCGGGTGGGCATGCAATGGTCTGGGTGGGCACCAGATGGGCATATAGGACCCCCAGGTGGGCACGTGGGACCCCAAGTGGGCATGTAGGACCCCTAGGTGGGCATGCAGGATCCCCAGGTGGGCATGCACTGACCATGGGTGGGCACATGGTAGCCTGGTGGGCATGCAATGGCTCTGGGTGAGCACGTGGGACCCCACGTGGGCATGTAGGACCCCCTGGGTGGGCATGCACCGGCCCTGGGTGGGCACAAAGGACCCCAGGTGGGCATATAGGACCCCCACGTGGGCATGTACCAGCCATGGGTGGGCACACGGGACCCCAGATGGGCATATAGGACCATCACGTGGGTATGTACCAGCCATGGGTGGGCACATGGTAGCCTGGTGGGCATGCAATAGCTCTGGGTGGGTACGTGGGACCCCAGGTGGGCATATAGGACCATCACGTGGGTATGTACCAGCCATGGGGGGGCACATGGTAGCCTGGTGGGCATGCAATAGCTCTGGGTGGGTACGTGGGACCCCAGGTGGGCACATAGGACCCCCTGGGTGGGCATGCACTGGCCCTGGGTGGGCACACATGTCACTGGGGGGGTCTGGCAGGGTGACTCGGGGTCCCTGACTGCGCTGTCCCTCCCGCAGGGTGCCGGATGCCGGGGCCGTGCCAGTTCCTGCCGGGACGGTGACCCCCCCCCCCACCGAGGAGGTGGCCACAGCCCCGGTGGGGACGATGGCCAAGCGGCTACTGGTGGCCTACGGGCTGTGGGCGCTGGGGGGGCCGCTGGGGCTGCACCACCTCTACCTGGGCCGGGACAGCCACGCGCTGCTCTGGATGCTGACGCTGGGCGGCTTCGGTGCCGGTTGGCTCTGGGACTTCTGGCACCTCCCGGGTTGGGTGGCCACCGCCAACGGGGCCAGGGTGGCCGGGGACCGCGCTGGGAGCGTGCCGGCCCTCAGCCCCCTGCGCCTGGTGGGGGGAGTGACGGTGGGGATGTATTTCGGGCTGGTGGCGGCGCTGGGCCTGCCCTGGGTGCCGGCGTTGCTGGCACAACCCCTGGCCGTGGGGCTGGGGGTGCAGCTGGTCTCCTCGGTGGGCGACCAGACGGCGGAGGTGCCCAGCGTCCTGGCCACCGCCTTCCTCGCCTCCCTCCTCTTCCAGGGCCGGGTGCTGGCGGTGCTGCCGGTCAGCCTGGCCGCCAGCGTGGCCGCCCAGCGTCACCGGCGCTACAAACCCCCCGGGACCCCTCAGCCCCGGCTGGCTGCCCGGCTCTACCACCTGGGGTTGGCCTGCCTGGCTTTCGTTGCCCCCCTGGCCTGCCGGGGTGCCGCCGGGGTGCTGGGCACCCTCCTGGCCATTCCCCGTGCCGCCACCGAGCTCCTGCTCCTGCCCCTCCGCGCCGGCCGGCTCCTGGTGGAGACCCTGGGCTTCTCCGGGGGGTCTTCGGTGTGGGATCGTGGCACCGGCTTTGAGGCCAGCGGCTGGAGCCAGCGGCAGCAGCGGGCGTACGAGGTGAGGGATGCGGTGCCGGGCACCATGGGCCAGTGGGGCGGGCCAGGGGGGATGCTGTGGGGGGGTATCTATAGAATTTGGCTGCTTCACTACCTTGGTGGGGGAGGAACATGCTTTTTGGGGTCCTTGCTGGACTTGGGGACTTGCTGGAGAGCAGCTCTGAGGAGAAAGAGCTGGGAGTCCTGGTGGATAATAGGATGCCCATGAGCCAGGGATGGGCCCTGGTGGCCAAGAAGGCCAAGGGCATCCTGAGGGACATCAAGGAGAACCTCAAGGGAGGTCATCCTGCCCCTCTGCTCTGCCCTGGGGACGCCCCAGCCGGAGCACTGGGACCAGTTCTGGGCTCCCCAGTTCCAGAAGGACAGGGAACTGCTGGAGAGGGGACAGCAGAGGGTTACAAAGATGCTGAGGGGCTGGAACATCTCTCTTAGGAGGAGAGGCTGAGGGACTTGGGGCTTTTTAGTCTGGAGAAGAGAAGGCTGATGGGGGATCTGATCAGGAGGGTGGGGCTGGTCTTTTTTCAGTGGTGCCCAGTGACAGGACAAGAGGAAATGGGCACAAACTGGGACAGAAGAAGTTCCATCTCAACACGAGGAGGAACTTCTTCCCTGTGAGGGTGGCAGAGCCCTGGCAAAGCCTGCCCAGGGAGGTGGTGGGGTCTCCTTCTCTGGAGACATCCCAAACCCCGCCTGGACACGTTCCTGTGGGACCTGCTTTGGGCAGGGGGGGGTTGGAGGAGATGATCTCCAGAGGTCCTTTCAGACCCCATATCATGCTGGGATTTTGGGATGCTTAGGGCACACGCAGCCCTGGCAGGGGTCATGGCGGTGTCCCCCCCACACCCGCCCAACACATCCCTCTCGCCCCCCAGGTCCTGGGGCTCCCCATGGGCTCCCCCGCCGAGGACGTGCACCGGAGCTACCGGGAGCTGGTGAAGGTTTGGCACCCGGACCACAACCCGCACCGGGCCAAGGAGGCCGAGCGGCGCTTCATCGAGCTGCAGGAGGCCTACGAGGAGCTGGCGGGGCCCAGGAGGGCGGCCCCGGGGGGGTGACACCGGGGTCCGATGAACAACGAGGGTTCCTCTCGCTGCTGCCTCCGTCCTTGGCTCGGCGCACGGCGGTTCGGGCGGAGGGGGGACGCGAACCCGCAACCCCCCGGGCTCCACGCTCGGGTGTTTCCGCCGCGGGGCGGCGGCCCTCGGCAGTTTCCGTCCACGTTCGGCTCCCGCCGCCCCGCCCCTCGTGGAGGCGGGGCCTCGGCATTGCCGGATGCGATTGGCGCTGGGTGGGGATTGGCCACGCCTCCCCGCCCGGGCGAGGGTGGGGTCTTCGCCGTGGCGTCGGCCGCGCCGCTTCGCCATTGGCTTCCCTCCTCGCGCCGCGCCGTGTCCCCGCGCGCCCAGAAGCTCCGTTCTGCCCTTTCATTGGCCAGGAGCGCACGGCCCGGCCCCCGCGTCGCATCTGACTGGCCGGAGGCGAAGGAAGGCGGGCCGAGCCGGACATTTTCCGCCCTCTCATTGGTGGAGTCCTCCAGAGGGGCGGGTGCGGTGCGGCGATCGCGAGCCGCCGTTGGCTGCCGGGCGCTGGCCGCGTCCCCATTGGCTGGGGCAGCCCGAGGGCTCCAGCCGGGCCGCGGCCCCCGCCCCCCTCCCCGGTGCATCGCGGCGGCCTG